ATTGTAGATATTGAGAAACTGATTCTAAAGTTTATATGAAAAGGCATAATACCCAGAAAAGTCAACACAATTGAAGAACAAAGTTGGAGGACTGATTCTAAAGGACTTCAAGACTCACTATAGAGCTACAGTAATCAAGACAGGGTGGTATCAGTGAAAGGAAAGACAAATAGATCAATAGAACAGAAGAGAGAGTTTAGAAGTAGAACAACACAGATACAGTCAACTGATCTTTGAGAAAGCAGCAAAGGCAATCCAATGGAGAAAGAAAGGATAGTCTTTTCTTTTTTTTTCTTTTATCTATTTATTTATTTTAACTTCTCAATATACATTGTAGTTGATTTTTGTGTCCTTTTACCCATTTCTCTTTACCCCTTCCCTCTTTCCCCTCTATCCCCCCCACTACATCATATCTGTTCACTTGTCTTAACAAGTTCGAGGAATTATTGTGATTGTTGTGTCTTCTTCCCTCCCTACCCTTTATTTGTTTGTGTGTTTATTTATTTATCTTTATCTCCCACAAATAAGTGAGAACATGTGGTATTTCTCTTTCTGTGCCTGACTAGTTTCACTTAATATAATTTTCTCTAAGTCCATCTGTGTTGTTGTGAATGGTAGTATTTAATTCTTTTTTATAGCAGAGTAGTATTCCATTGTGTAGATATACCACATTTTCCATATCCACTCATCTGATAATGGACATTTGGGCTGGTTCCAACTCTTGGCTATTGTAAATAGAGCTGCAATAAACATGGGAGTACAGGTATCCCTTCGGCCTGATGATTTCCATTCTTAGAAGTGGAATCGCTGGGTCATATGGTAGATCTATTTGTAATTGTTTGAAGAAACTCCATACCATTTCCCATAAAGCCTGCACCATTTTGCAGTCCCTCCGACAGTGTATCAGAGCTCCTTTTTCTTGGCAACCTTGCCAGCATTTATCATTCTCTGTCTTTTGGATATTAGCCATCCTAACTGGAGTGAGATGGTATCTCAGACTGGTTTTGATTTGCATTTCCCAAATGCTGAGTTATGTTGAGCATTTTTTCATGTGTCTGTTGGCCATTTGTACATCTTCCTTTGCGAAATGCCTATTCAGCTCCTTTGCCCCTTTATAAATTGGGTTATTTGGTTTTTTTTTTTTTTGCTGTAAAGTTGTTTGAATTTCTTGTATATTCTGGATATTAATCCTTTGTTAGATATATATTTTACAAATATTTTCTCCCATAAAAAAGAATAAAATACTACCATTCGCAACAACATGGATGGATTTAGACAGAGAAAATTATATTAAGTGAAACAAGTCAGGCACAGAAAGAGAAATACCACATGTTCTCACTTATTTGTGGAAGCTAAAAATAAATAAATAAATAAATATCCAAACAAATAAAGGGTGGGCAGGGGAAGAAGACACAACAATCACAACAATTCCTTGAACTTGTTAAGACAAGTGAACAGATATGATGCAGGGGGTGGGGGAGGGAAAGAGGAACGGGTAAAGGGACAGGAAGATCAGCTAAAATGTATACTGAGAAGTTAAAAACAAAAAAGACACTGTTATTTTTTCTTTTATTGCTTGTGCTTTCAGGCTCATGTTCATAAAGTCTGTGCCCAGATCTAGTTCCTGAAGTGTTTCCATTCTGGTGAAGAAGTGGAGAGAAGGGAATGCTCTTACACTGTTGGTGGGACTGTAAATTAGTACAACCACTATGGAAAACAATATGGAGGTTTCTCAAACAACTACAGATAGATCTTCCATATGATCCAGCAATCCCACTGCTGGGTATATAGCCAAAGGAATGGAAATCATCATGTCGAAGGGATACCTGAACTCTCATGTTCATTGCAACTCTGCTCACAATAGCCAAGATATGTAACCAACCTAAATGTCCATTGATGGATGACTAGATAAGGAAAATGTGGTATATATACACCATGGAATACTACTCTGCCATGAAAAAGAATGAAATTCTCCCATTTGCAACATCTTGGATGAGCTTGGAGAAACTTATGTTGAGTGAAATAAGCAAAGCACAGAGGGATAAATACCGCATGTGCTCACTCATAAGTGGGAGTTAAGAGAGAAAGGAAGGAAAGAAAGACCATATGGTGCGTCAGACTTGCAGAGAGAGAGAACATACCTAGGGATACAAAATGGAGTGGGGAAAGGCAGTAGGGAGGGAGGTCAGGGATAATTGGGTGGGGGACATGGGGTATAATCACAATTTGTGGTAATAAGCATGCTGCTAGTATGGATCTGGCCATCATATCTTAGGCACAAGTGGTGACAATTTGCTTTGTACCCCATGAATATTCATAACCAATAAAAATATTAAAAAAAGACACCATTAAGAGGAATAAAAGACAAGCTTCAAACTAAGAGAAAATATTTGCAAATCATATGTCTGGTAAAGGATTTATCCTAAGTATATAAATAACTCTCAAAATTCAGTAGTGAGAAAACAATTTAATAAAAAATGAACCAAAATTTAAACAGCAAGTTCACCAGAAGAGTCATACACTGGCAAATAAGCATAATAACAGACAATAAACATCATTAGTTATTAGGAATAGGTACAAAGAAGCCACTATGAGACACCACTTCATACCCATTAGAATGACTACATTTAAAACAATCAAACAAAAATGATAAACTGATAACACCAAATGCTGGTGAGAAGGGGGAGTAACTGATGCTCTCCAACATTGCTGATGGGGATGCAAAATGGTACAGCTACTCTAAAGCAGTTGGGTAGTTTCTATAAAATTAAACATATGTATTTATCATAAAAGCCTGCAATTGTATACCTGAAGAAATGAAAATTTATGTTCACACAAAACCCCACAAATTATTATAGCAGCTTTATACAATATATAATTTCCAGAACTGAGAACAAACCAGATAAGATTCAGTCAGTCAGCAAGTGGATAAGCAAAGTGTGGTACAGTCACACAATGGATTACTATTAAGCAATAAAAAAGAATGCACTATTAATACATGTAACAACATCGGTGAATCCCAAATACATTATACTAGATGAAAAAATCCAGACTCAAAAGGCTACATACAATATGATTTCCCTTATATGCAATTTTGGAAGAGACAAAATTATAAGGATAGAAATCAATCACTGGTTGACAGGGGTTTGGAATGAGGGAAGAGATTGACTGCAAAGGGGCACCATGACGGAAGTTTTTGGGAGAAAGAACTGCTTTGTATTTTGATCATGACGGTGGTTATAAACTCTGTGCATTTGTCAAAATTCATAGAACTTTACATCAAAATAACTAATTTTACTGTAATGTAAATTTAAGATAAATTAAAAGTTGCTGAAAAACCAATGCAAAACAGAAAAGAAAGGAACTGGATAAAACAGACAATGTAGGGAAAAGAAAACCTTGCTTTGTATAACAGATTTTAAAAAATCACACCAAGGCACATCACTGGAAAATTCAGAACACTGGGGACAAGGAAAAGATCTTAAAATCTCCCAGAGAAATGACATGTCTCACACAGAGACTTGGGCATCAGGAGGGCTTAGAACTTAGCAGCAGCAATACTGGAAATTTAGAAGGCAATGGAGCAAGAAATTCAAAATTCTGAAAGAAATGTATTTCCTACCTAGAAGTCTAGACCCAGTCAAACCATTATTTATGCGTGAGAGGTAGAATAAAGACACTTTTAGGCAAGCAAGTTCTCAAAATATGTATCTCCTATGCACCTCTTCTCAGCAAAATAGAGGAGAATGTATTCTACTGAAAGAAGGGAGTAGACACAGGTTCTGGAAAACAGGGGATCTGCTAGAGGACAAAGGCAAAGGGAATCCCTAGCATAGTCAAAAAGGGGCAACCCAGGATGACAGATATGCACTGGGGTGATGTGACACAAGACCAGATTAGAGCAGGAGGACAAGTGCTCCAAGGAAACTAACTTGATAGAATATTTTGTATGATTGAATTTTTTTTTTTAAGAAGATTTATTCTCTGGCAGAATTTGGAGATGAATTAGTAATAGATTTATAGGGAAGTAGGAAAAGGATTAAAAAAGGAAAACTAAGACAAAAATAACTGCAAGAAAAATTTTAAAAAAGCTAGATACATTGGGCCGAACCTGTGGCTCACTTGGGAGAGTGTGGCGCTGGGAGCGCAGGGTGCGCTCACTGGCTGAGCGTGGTGCGGGCGACTCCAAGCCAAGGGTTATGATCCCCTTACCAGTCACAAAAAAAAAAAAAAAAAAAAAGCTAGATACATTAATAAAGAAAAGGAAACATGGCTTAGCAGTAGGTGATATTTATATAGCTATAACAAATTTTGGAAACCCTGGCTATTTAGCTAACTATGTTTAATATAACTATACAGAGAAGAATAATACAACCATACAGAGAAGATGGGTGGGAGGGGAAGAAATGCATGTGTATATACTTACCTCCCTTTTAGTAACTTAGTATCTAAAACTGAAAAAAATCAAGAAATGGCATAAACGTGGTAGTGAGATGTATGGAGGGGAATAACAAAATAAATAGTGAGTTGAAAAATGATTGCCTTTGGGAAGCGGGAGTTGGTGGAAGGCAGGGAACTGTGGTTTTCTGTGAAACTAATTTATAAAGCTCTACTATTTTTAAAACTGTGCACATGAATATGTTGCAGAGACATAAAATTTAATAATAAAAGGAGAAGTGGATAAAAAGCAATCATGTTTGTGTTAAGCCCTGTCTGATTTTTTTTCGGGTCAGAAATTTCTCTTAGGTCAGGAACTTGTAACCAAATGCTAATTTGTACAGCACTTGGCCTAGTGATCAATATTTTGAAAAAAGAAAAAAAATGATTGGAACGATGCCAAAACTTTAGTATCTTTATTTCAAACTAGTATTTCTTAAACTGCAATAAGTACCTCCAGAAAAGATGAGAAAGCTATTAGCTTGTTAGAGGCAGAAATAACTGAAGATAAGACTTATCTCTGTGTGACAGCTAGGTTTTATTCTGTAACATCAGAAACTTACCTGAACAGAACAGCATCATCTGTTAGAAATTTTGGCAAGTTGGAATCTCTTAAAGCTCTTATCAATACCACATCTTCACTTAGGTCTGGGTTTTCTCTTTTTAAAGATCTAAATTCAAGAGAATATTTTAGATGATATCTCAAGAACCTAAGATTGCATGTGATTTTCCAAACCTGTGGGTCAGGGATTCTGCTTGTAGAAAGCTGTGGAGGGCACCCCCTGCAGATTCCTGCTAGAAGGAGAGGATTGTTTTCCCTTGTGTGCTCAGCATCCGTCTCCGTCACAGCACACAGACAAGTCCTGCACTGGCTACACAGCCTTGAGGAGAATGACAAGGACATCTTCTCACACCTCCACCCTCATCAATCCAGACCTTATCCAACCTGGATTTATAGCTCTGTGAATGCATCATGATGATCCATATCCCTGTGCCTTTCTTTTCTCTCTCCCTGGAATGCCCAGCCCAGCTCTTTTGCCCACTCTCATTTCCCCTTCAAACTCCAGTCCAATTACTCCCTTCTTTAGGAAGCTCCTCTGTCCTCAATCCGCTGCTCAGTGAACCTCAGGTGGGCGCAACCCTAGGGCTTCCCTCTCCTAGGTGACTGCGCATTTGTCTGTCCTGCCCATTGGGCTGTAGTTGCGTTCTGAGTACAAGTGTATCTGAACTTCTTAGTATCCCTAGACCTTAAATGGCAATCCTGTAAAGGGGACACATACTGAATCTGGAAGGTTAAAAGAAAGAACAGGGGGTAGAGAAGGTTAGGGAGATTTGTGCAGAGCCCAGTGAAACAGGAGCCAGGCATCAGGGGCCCTGCAGGTGAAGAATCTGCACCAGTGAGACACGGCCTGAGAGGTGGGACCAGAGAGAAAACAGATTCCTTCAGAGACTCTGGACAAGTCGGAGACTCCAGATATAGTAGTTTCAAGAAGTTATAAAGAGAAAAGTTGAGGCCCCCAAAGAGCTAAGACTTGCTTGACTAGAAACCAGAAGGAAGCTCAGTCTTGGACCATGTCATGAAGACAGAGGTGAAATCTATGACATAAGCCCGAACTGAAAATGGAATGATGAAGTTTCTTTTAACTCTTGAGGGTTTGCCAGTCAATACGTATGGCTGACTTTATTGTACATGCATAACAGTCTGTGTGCCCTTTAAGTCTAGCCATCTTATCCCGCGGCAGAAAAGGCTTTTGCGCACTGAAACCCTATGTATGTGATGAGTTCAGGGGATAAGACTCAGTCCGAGGGCAGTCATGTTAGGACTCACAGTGAAGAACTGTCGTGGGGTGATGGGAGACATCCCATTTTGCTTTGTCACAGGAGAGTCAAAGCAAGAATGATCACAGGAGCAGCTAACATTTACTAACTACTTACTATGCACCACGTGTCATCCTAAGAGCTTTCTGTGGATTATCTACTTAATGATTTTTTATCACATGGTTTGGAATTTTGCTCTTGACCACTTTGGTTTCTTACCCAGCCATGACCAGTACAGACTTCACAGCTCTCATGCCAAAGTCGTAGTGATCCTGCTGAGAGAGCTGTTCACTGCAAAGCTTATACATCTGAGTCATTTTTCTTGCTAATATTTTACTGGATTCAAATCCTTCAGAATACAGAATTACCTAGAATAGAAAAACATAATGCAATGCTTATTATATTGTGATGATAACAATATATTAGCATAATACCAATGTGTTCAAAATCTACATTAGGCATTACACCTGTTCTGGTTGTATCATTTAATAAAGAAATGGAAAGATTGAAGGGAGAAGGGTTTTCTGTGCCACAGGAAGGTGGAAGGCAGAATGTTGGGCAATGATTCTGTTTCCTCTCTATGGATGAAGATGTGGCCTTGGTGACATTTGGCTCAAGGAACAGCAGAGCCCAGTGTTTGAAAATGTTCACATCATGAAGGCTGGACATTATTAAAAGGCCTGAGTGCAAAAGCAACAATTGAGCTACTCCCATCTGAAAGGAATGCCACCCTGGTGGAGAGTATCAGTGATTTCCACCTGTCGCTTTAGATTCCCTGGGAGTCAGGGAAGCTACACAAAGATTTGCAGCTTTTCTCCTACCTTAGGAGGCTACCTTGCTTCTCACAAGTTTCTGCATCCCTAGTTAAATTAATTGGATAATTCCTAGTGTCTTTGACAGTACAGTTGAGATTGGACCCTTCCTTCTATCCAGCATCTGCTCAAAGCACTAGAGTCAGACTCAGAAGCAGGATTTGAAACGATGCAGAGAGTTCTCACTAGTGTCTGTTTTGTTTACTGCTCTACTGCTACTGACCAGCACATTGCTCTGCACATAGTAGGTGATTAAAAAAATCTGCTGACGACAGAACCTGATTCACTCAGTCTCTAATAACAATAGAGATAGCACTCAGAACACTGGATTTTAAAATATGTCCAGTTCATCACTGAGTAATGGAACAATAGAACAAAGCATGAGAAGTGAACTGCATGTTGCACTGGCTGTAAACCAGGTTTTCTTCCAGCCAGCTTGGGACAAGGATCAAGTCATTTCTTATCCCTGTTCACAGAGAAGATCAAGACTGAAGATATTGCCTGCCTTAACTGCTCCCCACCCCGCCATGCCCACAGCAGGTACCGGGGGACCCAGGAGATGCTATAAGCATTATACTAAATATAAGTTGTAATTTTCCCAATGATAGGACTTGGCATGGTCTATTCTATTCGTAAGCAATTACTTTTACTTCATATAGAAGAATATTTAGAATTAGCTGTTATCAAAAGAATTTATTAGCCAAAGTAGTAATCTGTGCTTTCTGAGAAATTCCATTCTAAATAGTGTCTCTTGTTCTCATGTGCAATGCTGAGCACAAGGAGCCTTCTGGAGTCCTGAAAATGCCTTATATTTTGGTCTTGGTGGTCACGCAAATGAATACATGCGTGAGATGTACCCTAATGAGCTGTGTACTTCATTGTATTTAAGTTATATCTCAATTAAAAGTTTCATGAAAAATATGTGTAAAATTTAAATGCATTGATTCTTGGCTAGTATGAAGGAACCAAATCCAGTTTATATAGTAAGATGTTTAGATAGATACAGAAAGAATGAACACAATCATAATGATCGGTGATTACAATTTTTCGATAAGTTGATATACAGACTTAAAAACCAATCTCTGCCCTCCACATTGTGATCAGTGCTGCTTCTACCAACATCACTTGACTCTAATTAAAAATACTGTGCAAAGAGAAGTGAGAATAATACAGTATTTTTAGAACTAATCCAGGTATTTTAATTCCTAGAGATGAACCGATAAACCCCAATGAACTGGTTAATTAAATTCATTGATTCATTCCAGTTTTAGGGCCCTACTATATTCCACATACCATTCTGAGCGTTACGGTTGTAGCGGTAACAAACAAACATGCAGAATGAAACATTCTATGTGATAACAATATCTACATTTAAAAGCAAACAATAAGGTATAACCATTACTTGGATCCATTTACAAAGGAGAGTTTCTACCTTGACAGAATCACATGGCAGATGACTGAAACAAGCCCACAGTCTTGCTGATTTATAATGTACCTCTTACCTCTGCAATCAAGGCGTAGTTTGGAACCATCATCGCAAACGGTCTAAATAGGGCTTTCAAATTGTCTGGCAATTCGGTTCTGCCTGCATATCCAGGATTCATTGTGATGAAGGCTGCACAAGTCATAACCAACTTTATTTCTCGCCCCTCAAACATGAATCTAGAGAGCTGTTTAAAGAGAAAGCTCAAGTTAACACTTCTTTAGACATTTGTGAATTCTTTCACATAATTATTCCTTGAATACAAGACTTATGTAAAAGCATTCAAACGAATTCTACTGAACCCTGCTGTTGGGCAGCAGGGAACTTTTCACTCCCAATTCTGTCCTGCCCATTTCCAATTTCTTCTGGGCTCAGTGTTTCCTGATCTCTGCCTCCTTGCTCCTGTCTTGCCCAAATTTTCTCCTTCCTGGCCCAGTCCTGAAATCTTCCAGACCTCACCATCTTTTGCCAAACCTCCTCAATTCATCTTAGATTTAATGACCACGAAACTTTCTCCACGCCCACTTTCTAGTATTCCCCAAGAAATTCCAATCTAGTCTTAATCCTTGGGTGGTTGAGGCCCCATCCTTATTGTCTTTGGCACCACCTCTTCACTTTTATTCAACAGCACTCATTGGGCACCTATTCCAGGTAAGGTACTATAAATACCAGTGAGGTATTGAGGCACAGAGCCGAGGGAGACACACTCCTGAGCCCTCGAGAAGCTCCCAGGCTGGGTGTCTGCACACAGACCTGGTTGCTGAGATCACACAATGCACCAGATGCTGCAGTGGAGGTGTGTGCAAAGCTGTGGGAGGAGCAAGCAGCCTGCCTGAGACCTGAAGAATAAATAGGGGCATTTTAGGTGGATAAGCAGGGTCAGCCATTCCAGGCAAAAAGAGCAGGAGCAGGAAACAGCACTGCACGTTCAGGGAATGGCCAGCAATTCATTTTGCTAAGGGGCAAAGTTCCAGAGGGAGAGTATAGCCAGGATGGGGCCTGAGCATCAAGAGTCTTGCATGCTAAGCTAAGGAATTAGATTTTGTCCCATAATTGGGGGGTAGCAGAGAACACTTTTAAGCAGAATGATAGGATCAAAGATGGCAGAGGAGAGGTTGGACAAACTATGGACAGGGATACCAGTAAGGAATACTTGTCATTGGGGAGATATTAGAGCTAGAATTAGAGAGGTATAAGTTAGATTAGAGGCATGTAGCAGATAAAATTAACAGGATTTGGTGACAGTTTTGATTCCGGGATTGATAGTAATGGAACAAGCCCAAGGTGAATTTCAGGTTTCTAGTTGGGCCATTGGGTAAAGGTGCTATTAACAGACATGAGGAATACAGGGGCAGACAGGGTGGAGCTGGGGTGCTGTGTCCCAGCCTGGAGGAGAGAAGGCTGCGTGGTGCAGCCACACACAGTCCTGCTGCTGCTACATGGCTGTGGGAACTACCCAAACCTCTCCGCTTCTGTGCTTTAGGTTCTTCATCTATGCCAGGGGTTGTATCCTGCTCCAAGTATCTCATCTGGCCAGTGGGAACTTGAGAAAAAGGTTGGTTAATCTCAGATGTTCTCCTATCTTCCTTTTACCTCACATGGCTGCCATCCAGTTGGCAATGCTTCAATCCTGCCTCTATTCTCTCTGGTCCCTGCCCCGTCACTTCCCATGCAGGATCAGGAAACAACACTTTCTGTTCAGGGTATGACCAGTAATTCACTTTGCTAGAGAGTAAAGTTCCAGAGGGAAAGAATAGCCAGGGCAGGGCCTGAGCATCAAGAATCTTGCACACAAAGCCAATTGCTAGCAAATGATAATGATTCACAAGTTGTGTTATATCTGGGGGTCCTCGCGTTTAATACAAGTCTCCCCAGAATATGTTGGAGGCAAGAGGGAGTGCAGATGAAGGAGCTAAGACTTTAGGATCACATGTATTCATATGTGCATCTTGGTTCTATGGTGTCTATGGAAATATATTCTAACTTCTTTGGATCCTTTTCAACTATAGCTTTGGGAAAATGTGATATAATTCACATAGGTTTGGTGTAAAGATGACTTGTACAATTGAGCAGCTCATTAAAGCTCAATTCATACTTTCTTTTAATTTGTTCTATAATTTGCTTTTTGGCGAAGGTGATAATCAAAATATTTAATGACTCTTTATCGGGGCACCTTCCAATGAGATGGCCCATCTCTAGAGCTGGAGCTGAGTCCAGAGTCCCCTTCCCATGCCGGATGGATGCTTATTGATGGGCTCTGAGTGGGGGGACTGGGGCTCTTCTGAAAGAGGCCAAGGGAGTAGTGGGGGAACCTCGAGGGGCTTGGGGAAGTGACCGTTCTGGTTTGCACAGGCTCAACCCAGTGCTGCTCTTTGGTGATCACATCTCAGAAGGTCAAAAGAGAGTAGTAGGCAACTTGGTTTCATCATTCACTGCCATCAGCTTCTGAATATAAAACTCCTTCTCCAGTGACATGCTCAAAAGGGGCCCAAACACATTTAAGTAACAGGGCCACTTCAGTATTTTCGTCTGACCCACACTCCTTGGATTTTCCAGCCCAGTGAGTTCTGGAGAGCCAAGGTTCCCTCTTTTGTTTCCCCAGCACTAGGCTGAGCCTGGGGGCCAGGGCGAAGGCAGTGGAGCCCAGATGAGCCTAGCAGAGAAGTAAATGTCAAAGGCAAGAACGAGACAGGCGAGGAGGAAAGCAGGAGATGGAGGGCAGAGGGACAGAGTATGGGCGCTTGTGTGCGTCTGTTGGGGGTGAGAAGAACAGAGCTCCTTGAGGGCAGGGACTGAGTCTCACAGTCTCCGCATCTCCAGGTCCCAGCACAGCACAGAGTCTGACATACAGTTGCTTCTCTGTGTTGTCTGCACGAAGACTTAATTCACCCAAGTAAGTCCTGCTGGTGTTGTACTCACTAGTTACACTGAAAATATGGACCAGACAGGCTAAAGTTAGCACCGTCCTTCCTAAAATGCAACTTGCTGTGAGTTAATTGTAAACTTCAGAAAGGCTACCTTGATAGCCATTGCCTGAAGCCTTACCTTTGCAGCTTTGGCATTCCTGATGGTAATGAGTTGCTGTGCGATGACTGACAAAACTTCTATGTCAATGCGATTAAATTCATCAAAGCAGCACCAGGCCCCTGACTGTGCCAAGCCACTGAAGAAGCGTCCCATCATCTGAAAGCAAAATAAAGGTATTCAACTCTGTGTTGCATAGTTCAGCTCCTTCAAAAGTTAAATTTTGAGCTGGAATATTACAGAGAATAGAGGTGGTATCTGTAAATAAACAATAGTTTTATGTAAATACTGGGCTATGTCAGAAGTAAGTACATTTCTATAAGAAAAAATATCTTTTTGCTTCTCTCTAAGAGATCTGAATCTAATTTTTATTTTAAATAAAATGACAATCTGGCCAATTTTCTTTCTTTTTCATAACTGCCACTCACCTCTGTGGATATTTGACAGGTTCTCAAAGAATCTAACACACAGAACAGACAAACTTAAGGATCTAAAACAGTTGAAAACTTTTACTAATGGAAGCTTTCATTGTCTTTACAAGGTGCTCTAGATGATAGACAGTACACAAAAACAGCTGAGCAGAAGGCATAACCACACAGCTTAAGGGAGTGGTCCCTAATTTCTTCTATAGTAGAATCCTTATGGTGAAGGGAGATGAATACATACCTATGGCCATCTGAAGTGTACAACTTCTCTGGAGACCTGAGTTTTTGATTAAGCATTTATAGAAATATTGCATTATACTATATATCTATCTCTTTAAAAATAGAGCTAATGCTTTTTCTCTTTTTTTTCCTGACTGGTAAGGGGATCGCAACCCTCGGCATGGTGTTGTCTGCACCACGCTCAGCCAGTGAGCGCACCGGCCATCCCTGTGTAGAATCCGAACCTGCGGCCTAGTGCTGCACTCTCCCGAGTGAGCCACGGGGCCGGCACGGTTTTTCTGTTTCAAGGTGGTCAACTGGGCATACACTCACCTCCCCTTCCTCCAATTCCCATGAATCACAGAAAGACAGATCTGGGTGTGTGTCTCTCTCCATTTCTGTGTCTATACTTGGGAAAACCCTGACTGTACCCCCTTCTTTTGGGTACAGCCACTGTACCGAAAAAACTTACCATGAATTATTGCCTCTTACATATTTCATTTTCTTTTTTATTTTTTAAGATGACCAGTAAGGGGATCCTAGCCCTTAACTTGGTGTTGTCAGCACCACACTCTCCCAAGTGAGCCAACCAGCCATCCCTATATAGGGATCCGAACCTGTGGCCTTGGTGTTATCAGCACCACACTCTCCCAAGTGAGCCACGGGCTGGCCCCATATTTCATTTTCAATACACAATTCCCTGGACTGCTCATTTCCTTCTGTAGGCTTATTTCTTGTTCCTAGGTTTCCATGTTGTTCTATCTTACATCTCATCTCACTCCCTATTACTTACTGACAGGTACAGATTTTTAAATTTTTCCACCATTTGACAAATCTTCCCCTGGCCTGGATTCTTACCTGGACTACCCATACCACCATGTGTTGGCTCTTCTCCCTTGCTCTATTTCATTTTAATCATTCTTTACCCCACTTCTTTTCCATTGCTTGTCATCACTCCTTATTTTGTTATGTCATATCACAAATAGAGAAAGACACATTAAACACTTAACATTGGCATCCACATGCAGGGACTGTACCTTGTAGTCCAAGCCATCAGAACAGTTAAAGACCACACACTGGATGGCAAGCGCTTTTGCTAGGTCTTTGGTAGTCTCTGTTTTCCCAGTGCCAGCAGGACCAGCTGGTGCACCCCCGAGGTCGAGCTGCAAAGCCCCCATGAGGCAAAGATAGCAGCGATCCTGAAGAAATCAATACATTGTCATAAAGGGAGCTGACTCTAGCCACAAATTCATAAGTCTTTTCCTTTCTATAGGAGGAGGGTCATTATTTTCCATGAAAGGTATGATAGCAATTGAAATATACGCAAAGATCCATGTACATAAAATCAATGCTTTTCAAAGATGTATTCATAGCAAATCCTTTCAAAAGTTAATGTTAGATGAAGGTTTTCAATACTGCTTTGATTAAAAAAAGCACTCTTGTGTCAATATTAACCTAGCTGATCAGTAACTTACTGTGAGAGGAGTAATAACCAATCTTGGGCATGCACCCAAATATTCATAGCCATAAGTGTACTGAGAGAGCGCCATTCTAGCCACACAATTATCCAGGTCTATGTACCAATAATAGCGCAGTTGTCTCTGCCAGTCAAAGGATTCAACTGTCTCTACCTACATAAGTGATATAAATGGTAGATGTTAGATACATTAATTTCAGAAAGAAGTACATGATTTTACTTAAACAAAACATTTACCTTGGCTTGAACAAGTTCAGTGACTATATCTCTTGCATGCACATCAATAGTAATCAATGCAGTTAGGATGTTTCTATGTAATTTAGGAAGACTTCCTCTAACTATTGCAGCCAGGGCATTTAATCTCTACAAATAAAAAAAAAATGTAGTAGTGATTTTTCCAACATCAGCTTGCATATATATATCTTTTTACTACTAAATTTGGAATAGACATTTGTTATAATCATCTAATTTTAAGAATCTATAATTCTATGACTAAATAGTAAATAACTTTTTTGTCATTATTTATTTACAACTGAAACATAATTGGTAATACATATTAGTGGGGTACAGAGTTGACTATCAATACTTGTGTATAATACATGATGATCAAATCAGGATAATTAGCATACTCATCATTACAATACGTAATCAGTCTTTGTGTCCATTTATTGAATTCTCGCTGACCTCTCCCCTCCCCTTTTCCATCTCTAGTAACCACAGTTCTTTAAGTTATTTAATTTCCAGAAGACTTCTATGAAGTATATACTACCTTTACCCCCATTTTACATTTGAGGAAACTGAAGTCTGAGAGGGTAAGTAAATTGACGGCAGTTACACAGTTATGAAGTGGCAGCAATGAGATCTGAGTAGACATTTGCTTTGAGGAAAGCACATGTTAACTACTACGTGAAGATGTCGCTAGACATTTTTCTCCCTAAAAATTAAATGTGGTTAAAGGAGATGCTTCTCATTTTCAGGACTATTTTTTTTCCATTGATAATCTGAAAACCTGCATGTTTTAATCAAGCCAATGACCAATTAAATAAGAATGTCTTTGGAAAGATTTATCTCCTGATTTTCACTTAAATGGTTAAATCTTTTTCACAGAAGAGCAGTGCCTCTGAGATCCTTGCTGCACTGTGCTGAATTTTCTCTTGGGCTAACCCTGATCAGGGACCACGTCTACAAAGAAGTCAATAGAACTTTCTTTGGGAGTCATTTTTCTTTTCTGGGGCTTCAGAGATGAAATTCCACTGAGGACATTTATGACAGTTTTTCTCTTATTTCAAGGAAGTTTTTCTCTCTTTTTTCTGTTTTAGTTGTAAATCTTTAAAAATGCAGTTTTGCTTGGAATCTTGTTTGGAAGTGGAATTGAATTTAGAGTTAAAGCTTAGGCCTAGATCCTTATCAGACATATCATTTGCAAATACTTTCCCTTGTCTCTAGGTTGCCTTTTTTACTCTCTTGATTGTTTCCTTTGCTGTGCAGAAGTGTTTTAGTTTGATGAAATCCCACTTGTCTATTTTTGCTTTTGTTGCTTGTGCTTTTGGTGTTATATCCAAGAAATCAATGTCAAGGCCAATGTCATGAAGGTTTTCCTCTATTTTTTTCCAATAATCTTACAGTTTCAGGTCTTATGTTTAAATCCCTAATCTATTTTGAATTGATTTTGTGTATGGTGTAAGATAAGGGTCTAATTTCTCCTACAACTCAATAGTCAAAAAAAACAAAAGATCTGATTAAACAATAGGCAAAGGACTTGAATAGACCTTTCTCTGAAGAAGACACACAAATGGCCAACAGGTATATGAAAAGGTGCTCAACATCACTAGACATCAGTAAAATGCAAATCAGAACCGTAATGAAATGTCACCTCACACATTTAGGATGGCTGTTATAAAAACAATACAAAAGATAAGCAAGTGTTGGTGAGAATGTGGAGAAAAGAGAATCCTTGCACACTGTTGATGGAAATGTAAAACGGTGCAGCCACTATGGAAAACAGCATGGTGGGTCCTCAAAAAATTAAAAAGGGAGCTACCATATGACCCAGCGATCCCACCTCTGGGAACATATACAAAAGAATTAAAATCAGGATCTTGAGGAAATATCTGCACTCCTATGTTTATTGCAGCATTAGTCACAATAGCCAAGATGTGGAAACAACCTAAATGTCTATCAACAGATGAATGAATGAAAAACATGTGGTATATACATACAATGGAATATTATTCTGTCTTAAGAAAGAAGGAAATCCTATTATATATGGCAACATGGATGAATCTGGAGGACATTAAGCTGAGTGAAGTAAGCTAGTCACAGAAGGACAAGCCCTGCATTATTCCACTTGTATGAGTTATCTAAAATAGTTAAACCCAAGGGCTGACTTAGCTCAGTTGGTAGAGTGTGGTGCTGACAACATCAAGGTCAAGGGTTTGGGTCCCTGTACGGGCAAGCTGTCAAAAAAAAAAAAAAAAAAAAAAAAAAAAGCCAAACTCATAGAAACAGTAGAATGGTGGGTTTCCAGGTGCTGGGGAAAGAGGGAGATGGGGAATTGCTGTCAATAGTATAAGGGGAGAGTTGTGCAAGATAAATAGGTTCTGGAGATCTGCTGTACAGCATTGTGCCTATAGTTAACAATACTGTATTGTGGACTTAAAAATTTGTTAAGGGGGTAGATTAGGCTTAGCTATAAAATAGCATTTCCCAGCTACAGCTAAAAGGTTCTTATAGAATGGTATTTAGATTCATTCAATTATTTATTGTTTTACTGATAGCTGCCTGACAGTTCTATAAGAAGCAGAAAAGTACGTGTTGAGCCTAGAAATAGAAATGACATAGATCCTGAGGTTTTCCTGCATTAAACTTCCATGAAAGGTATCTAAGACCTAATAAATATAATTTCTCCTTAAATGTTGCAAATCATTATAACTGTGATGTTTTCCTCTTGAATTGTTTTTCCTTCTGTTTTTATAAGTATTCATATAAATGCTAGACAAATACCAAGATAGTATCCCTAAGAGAAGTTGAACACAAATGGTTTTAGTGAGAACCTCAAAGCTTCGTAAGTCATGTCAGGGCATTAGAATTTCTGAAATAAAGTGAATTTGCATTAACAATGTTAACAAAAACCACTGAGACCATTCTGCATAGCAATATGTTCAACATATCTCTGTTAAAGATCTTACCTCAAAATTTACTTTTTCGAAAGCTTCCAGGGCCTCTACATGATTACTGTCTTCTCTTTCCAGACACTCAGTCAAATCACGGCACCACATAATTTGAGAAACGGTCAGGATAACCTGCAAGAAAACATCTTTCTTAAGTGTGTGATGCATCTCACCAAAAAAGGATTCAGAGATGGAAACAACGGGTGTGAGTTACTTGGGAAGGATGCCCAGCAATCACCCATTCCGTCCTCGGTTTCCCCTGATAGTCAGCAATGGCAGCTTTGCACAGGCGACGCAGGGACGTGAACATAGCTTCTTCCACTCTACCAAGCCATTCCTCGACATTGCCTCGGGCCTTGAGGCCTTTTCCCAAGCTAACCTAGAAGGTAATCAGAGCAACAATAAAATGGCTCATTAGGACCTGTAAGCTGTACATCCTCAGTATTTCCCTAACAAAACCCTGAGCTATGTAAATGCTGAAGCCTTCCCACAAATACTAGAACTTTCTATTGATATCCCATTATAAATCTCTCTTCTGCAGCCTCCTTGACTTATTTTATTTTACTGCTTCTGCTTGAGGCCAACTCCCTGGAAGAGGAGTGTATATGCACTACATGAATTTCTTTACTTATTTTCATTTTCCTACTCTCTACTACCTGATTTTTGCCCCCAACCACTCCTCTAAACCTATTCTCGTTAAGGTTGCCCACGTCTTCCCAGCTGAAAAGTCCAATTGCTCGACTGAGAGTCCAGTTGAGACTTTTCAGTCCTTCTCATTTTCAGATTTTGGACTTCCCGTGACTTGAGTGTCCTGCTTGTTTTGGTCTCCTTCAGCTGTTCTTCTTCTACCCTCTCTTTAAATTTCGTGTTTTCTTAAGATCCTATTCTTGGTCTTCCTCTCTCTCTTCTTCTGCCCCAGTGATGAGCAAATTCTTTTGCAAGAGGATCAATTCAGGACACACCAAAAAGGTTAATGGGTTCCTGCTACAGCACTGTGCTATGACTGGACCCATTCCCTCAACACTTCCCTGTGCAGTTTCTCTGTCTGGAATGACCTACCTTCCATGCCAACGTGCCAGATGCTCCTATCCACGACTCTGTGTGTGTGTGAATGTGGGACTCTTGACTCTGTGTGTGTGTGCATTTTAATTGTTTGACTATTTCTCCACTAGACTTTGAGTTCTTTGAAGGCAAGAATTTTATCTTGGTTATCGTCAAAGCTGCTGAGCCAGTAGAGTACCTGATGTACTTAGCATGAGAATGAATAGTCTTCTACCCCGAACCCTGGAAGAATAAAAACTATAAACAAAAGGCACCTCACCCTTTCTCCTTCTGGTGAGAGCATGGCTAAAATATCATTACTATAAACCTTTTCTGGCTCTCCATCAATACCAGGAATTTTTCCTTCAGCAGGAGGCATGAGAGCAAATTCGAGCTTTGAAATGGAGTCGAAGCATTTCCTTAAATGTGGCTGCACAGCTTGTGGATTTCGTGTCTGGGCTAAAATCTCCAGAAGTTCATCATTTGACAAGAAGTAAAATCTGGATTAAAGAAAATTCTTAAAATATAACTTGAAATTGAAGGGAAACCTTAGATAAACATAAAAGATAAATTCAGTAGCCAAATCTCTTCCCCATCCACCAACTTCCTGGACCTCCAATTATACTGATCCTGGGTTTCTGGGCAGGCCTCATGTCTCTAAATACAATTCCTGTGATTAGTGATGATGCATCTCAAACAACTAGAATTAGTGGTTAGCACATAAAAGATAGGCATTTTTCATAAAAATTGTAAAACATACTAGTTCTTGCTATGATACTGATTTGTTCACATTTGTCTTACTTGGCTTTGAGCTCTTAGAGTGAAGATATATTATTTGTTTTCCCTAGCATCTAGCCTAAGACCTCACACATACCAGGTATTCAATACATCATTTGTTGAACAGACAATAGATGAATAGGTGTTTGCAGGAACCTTAGATGGTTCTGTGAATGTGCACTGTTCCATCTCCTGACCCAAAGGCACATGCTATTCCCTGAAGCACGTGCTACTGTGAAAAGTGGCAGAATATGACAACACATCATTTCCAACTACATGAGGTTATACCTATGTAGAAATAAAACGTTTTGTTTATATTTCAGTATCATTACCAGCAAGATGGGAAAATGAAATTGTGAACATATAGAATACTATTTTGATATAGATCAGGGGTTGGTAAATTACAACCCACAGGCCAAGTTGGCCTGCCACCTGTTTTTGTAAATAGAGTTTTATTGTCATCCAGCAATGCAGACATACTGTCTATAGCTTCTTTTCTGCTATAATAGCAGAGCCAAATAGTTGCAACAGAGACTATATGGCCTGCAAAGCCTAAAATGTTTACTATGTGGTCTTTTTTTTAAAAAATTGCTGATCCCTGATCTAGATAAGTAAAAATATTCTTCTAAATGTCAGCCTTAATGTAATATGGTTTCTGTGTTATGTTTAATCTCTCCAAATCACTCTAAAGTAATTTGATTTATTATCTCAACTGACTATCCTAGTTCATTATAAAATATGTTAGAGAAATTAACTATTGAAGACAGTGGTTTTTAAACCTTTTCCTCCCCAAACAACAAGGGTCTTTTTACTGCTGTCACCCTTCCTAACTCTCATGTTTTGAAGAACTAAGCATAGACACCAGTATTTAGTAAATGCCTTAGACTGTTGGTTGTCCATTTAGCAGTATCCCTGCATCAGGGAGGAGCTGGAATGACCTCTCTCAGAATCTCTTTCCAGTAACATTTCAGATTAGACTCTGCCCATGAGATGCTCTTCTATGAGGCTGAGAAGGTGGAAGGGAAACAGAAGCCCCTGTTCTCCCACTGGAGCCTGGATGAACTAAAGGGGGTGAGATTTTGTTGTTGGTTTTTAGTTGCTCTCCTGACAATCACCCTCTTATTTGTTGCAGGGAGCTGAGACCTTGGTGTCACTTCCCTGAGAGCTTTGCTTGCATTCCCAGATTTCCTCAAAGTGGCCCTCAGCTTTTCCCTTCTCCTGCCTCTAGCACCTGTGAAAACCTGTAATTACCCATAAAAAACTTTTGTCCTAAATATCTAGAGTGGCTTCTGTGTTTCTGACCAAACCTTGCCCAAGTAATGTAACTAGATGTTAAAATGTTAACTTTTTCAGTCTCAATTTTGGCTGGAGCTGTAGGACCAGAGTTTCCATTTACTCCTACATTTCACAACGAGATGCCAGGTCACTTGGGACCGACTGGCAATGAGATGAGTGAAGACTCTAGAGCCCTCCCTCACTCGAGGGTACAAAAGTGTTAAGGCTGGAGAGCTGGACATAGGAAGGTTTTCTGAAGAGACATGTGCTAAGGGTTCCCTCTACCCCCATGAGGAAGAGCGGGCATCACTCTCCTCAAGCCTAGGCATCTTGGAGAGCTTAATATGTGTCCCCACCAATTAACCTAAAGAAAACTGCTCAGGTGACACAGGTCTCTAACTTTTCACACACACATCTGTGGACACATGCACACATGCATGTAAGACTATGCTGGGATCAAGGATCCTTCCAGCACCTTTCTTACCCACTTAAATCTTTACCAAATACTGTATCTTCATTCTTGAGACCTACACTCTCCAATCAAGATACTGCCTGGATTTTCATTATCGTACATCTTTCTTGTTTCCCTCTCTGGTTCCCTGATTGCTATTCTTAACTAACTAAAAAACATCTTAGTTTGCTTTATAAACTTACCTTGGGAAGATAACTCGTTTTGACTCTAAATATGCCTCTAGACACTTCTGAATTTGGTCAAGTAATGCATTATTATTTTGGAAAGTCTCCAGAAGCCCTGTTCATTGAAAAAAAAAAGTATTGGTAAAATTAAATATGCCTCTAGACACTTCTGAATTTGGTCAAGTAATGCATTATTATTTTGGAAAGTCTCTAGAAGCCCTGTTCATTGAAAAAAAAAAAAAGTATTGGTAAAATCGTGTTAAAATAAACAGAGACTATAATTTTAAATGGAAGTAAAATACAATATTAACATTTAAAAAGCCTTGGTTTTATTTGACAGAGGAATGATCTAATAAAACTTAAGGGAATTGACTAAGAATTTTAACTATTACTTTTAATAACACTGCTTTTAATATTAATTTTAATATTTACCATGTATGACCAAGTAGATTTAATTTGAAATATTTTTAGCTGGCATCCCCTGATTTTGGAGGGCTAGGAGTGCACAAACCAAAGCCAGACTGTAGCCTTCCCTTTGACCTCCAAACAAAGCCAGTCTCTAGACCCTCCCCATCCTCTGTCACTTTCTTATGTGTGCCTTTTCTGTATCCCCTGCCACCTTTAAATGCTGAAATTATGGTAATGAGATACTATTTTTTCATCTCTAAACTATAGCTCCTTAAGGAACAAGATCCATGTTTCATTTTTCTTTGTAGATTGGTGCCTATCACAGTGGCTGGCTTTCCTGCCTGCCTAGGAATCACATGCAAAGCCTTTACCATGGCCTCCAAAGCTCTGTGTAATCAATGACCCTATCCAAGGCCCAGCCCCAGCCCCTCAGCCAGGCACACTCATCCTCGTGCACTCCA